TATAACATGAACATATATTTTCCTCTGCCTTCTTCATTGGCTATGAATTGTCCATAAATTTTTTCATTTTTATATTTATATTGAGTTTAAATAATTTTAAGTAGGAATTTAATGTTATTTCATGTTTATTTTACTCTTAGAAAATGTTATTTCACAAGATACACTTCGTGCTACTATATAAAAATAGATTAAAAGAATTTTAGTTAATCATAGAATGATGTTAAATTATAGTAAAGATTCTATAAATGATACTTTAAATTTTATTCAGCTATTATTTTCTTATGGGAAAATGCATAAGTACCCCCCAGCCTATACCCGAAATCCCAGAGACACACCTAACCTTCACTAAGGTCCTCTTACCCTCCTGAACTTAATTTATCTATAATATTCTACCCCTTTTCGGCCTACGTGGCACTATCCTTGAAAAATTGGTCAACATGCGCTGGGCCCATAAGATAGTGCCACGTAGGTCAAAAAGGGATAGAATATTACATATAAAATAAGTTCAGGGGGGTAATAGGACCTTAGTAAAGGTTAGGTGTGTCTCTGGGATTTCGGGCATAGGCTGGGGGGGGTACTTATGCATTTTCCCTTTTCTTATTGAAAAAGTATAACATTTTATATCATGATACAACTTCTATAAGATACTAGATACTTTCATTAGACAACAACTATCGTATGCGGTAGAAAAAAAAGGAGAAGACTACAATTCCACAAAGATAAAGTAGAAACTTAAAGAAATGAAATATTGTTCACCATACGTGATGTTATTTATATATAGATCTAAAACAAAGAATTGGTCAAACAAAATATTTGACATACTCTCAAAACTCTATGTAACTATAATTCATTATACCAAAATGTATGTGTAACAACCTAATTTTCTTTAGAACAAATCTTTTATGTTAAATTTTTTTGTCTCTATAACATTCTATTTATAATAGTGTTGACATTCATTATACAAGTACACTGTTTTGTAAAATTTCCTCTCTATAACAACCTTACTCAAATATTAATTGAGTAATAATATTTTGTAATGATATATTACGTGTAAAGATAAAATATTTAAATATTTATGGTAATCATTATTAGTATCATGCACATACCAATTTTCAAGTACGAAGATTTAAGAGAAAAATTGTACTTAATGGTGTCCATCATTTATGGTTAAATTTTTTACAAAATCGAATGAGGTAAAAGACAATACTACTAAAGAAATGTCACTTTCTCCCCATATTTAAACTTTGAATGTATTTTGAAATGCTCCTATGATATCTGAGCATTTTGATCTCAAAAAACAAGCAACTCTCTGACAATGTGTATTAATCATTTAAAAGCACATTTCTTATATTCTTTCAAGCTTTAATATAGTAATATTAATTCCATTTTACAACATTATATACTATATTATATGATACACACGTGCAACACACATGTCATGAAACTAGTACATATATAATGACAATTAAGTTGTCGTTAATTAATTGCCACTAAATGCTTCTTTCCAAACTAGACTGCCTGACCTCCCATTCACTTGGTTCTGGCCATATAAAATAATGCAACTTTTTTAATTAAAAAAAATGTTCTAACGTTATTAGAATGTTTAACTTTAAAATTCACAACAATTTAATTTTATTAGTACGTTTGTAAAAATAAAATATTTAAAGTTAAAAATTTCATTTTATCTGTAGTGAGAAAATAAATAAATTATAGTCATACAAATGTAACGACATAGTTAAGACTAAAAGTTTCAAAAGTTTTCAATGCTTCCCAAATTTCTTGTCGAATAAGACTATGTCATATAAATAACACACAAATCAAATGAAGAGTGAATTGGTTAAAAAAGTTAAAACTATTACTCTATTATTTGGCGTGTTTCATACATAAGCTATCACATATTCTTATAAGGTGTGGAGACAGAGGGGTGCAAGGGTTTTTGTAACACCTCGGATTCAAAAAGGGTAAAATTTCAGCTTTTAAGAAATCTGGTGCCAGGACCGACGGACACCACCGACGGTCCGTTGTTTAACACACGGACCGTAGGTCAGGTTCGTGGTTGGCCAAGTAATTTTCCAAAAATGTTGAGTTTCAGTACTTTGTTGACGGTTCACCAGGATGGCCCGTCATTCAATTTACGAGCCGGAGGTAGGGTCGAGTCCCAAACTTAGAGAAAATTCAGCATCAAAAGTCAAGATCCATGGTCGGGATCAATGGACCGTCATTAGACCCACAGTCCATGGATGGGGTCCGTCAATCAAGGCCTCAGAACTTGGCCTCTGATCCAGACGACGCCCTAACAGGACGGTCCGTAGATTGACCAACGGACCGTCGGTTTGATCGTCGTTGGTGGCAGCAGTTAAAATCTTTAGGGGCTTTTGGGTCTTTTCTCAATTATTCTAGCCTAATACTATGTCGTTTTACCCTTCACTAAAATCCCTATATAAGTATTTTTAACCCCAAATTGAAACCATTCTCTCAAATTTCTAAAAGAAGAACAAGTCTTCCTCTCAAATATTTCTCTCTCTAGAAGTTGAAGAAGAAAGTTAGGGTTTCAAGTCAAGCCTCCAATTCCATCATTGAAGGCAAGCTTTTGGCATTGAGGTATTATAGTTTTCATCCATGAAACCCTTTCCTTCATGGAGTTCCCAAATTCTCCAATTTACAAAATTAGAATTCCCTAATTGAGATTAGGAATTTCTTCTATGTTATGGTTCTCTTAATTATGGATTTAACTGATTAATTTATGATCTTCTATACATGAATTGAGTTAATCTCATGTTTTTATGATGATCCCCATGAACCCACACAATTCTCATGTTTTCCAAGGTATGATCATATGATGTGGGTTTTGAATTATGAAAGAAGAGTTTATGAAATTAAGCATGTTCTCATGAAATTGATGTAAATGTTTTAAGGATACTTTAAGAGTAAAGTATCAATGTTGTTATTTGTTGTGTTGTGAAAGGATTTCTCATATACACATGAAAGCATAATTTGTGAAAGGATATTCTCACATAAAGGATTTTTAGGGTTGAAAGGTTTTCTCAACTACACTCGGAATCAAAGATTTAAGGAGTTATTCTAATGAAAGCTAACTTGGATTGGTTATTGAATGATACCTTTCCATGGATAATACATTACTTAGCTCGGATTAGCAATATGGCGTGCCCTTCCATGGATAATAAAGACAAGTATGCATAATTGACTATTCTGTGGGAATTACTCTTAGTATCAAGCGGATATTGAGATGGATGCTCTCTCGTTGGTAGAGACGGGTTTTCTAGAAGCAATCTCCTTGTCCCTTAACTATGTACCACCATAGGATGTTGTCTTATCTAGATATTAGCTAGTGGATCCACCTAAGCTAGAAGTTCATGGGCCTTACCTTGGCAAGTAGGACAACCCTTTCCGGTGTGGGAGACACCGGATTCCGTGTTGATAGCTCACATGGTCTTATATGTCGGTTAAAGGTAAATTTGCCACAATTATGAACTAAGGTTACTTTTATAAGTACCTCATGAATGTCTTGAAGATGTCAGCTTGCATTGACCTTGTTTTATGACTTACGCTTTCTAACTCTTATTAACATGTTTTAGCTTGGTCATTGCATGTTTATGAAAATGTTCCCTTTTAAGCATGTTTTCAAATGATTTTATGCATGGCTATCATACTTGTTACATGTTTGTACTAACGCATACTCTTACCTACAGTTTCCTAAATGTAGGGTCTGATAGTCAGGGTTCCCGGTTTCGTGGCTAGAGTTCGTTGAGGAGATTTCGAGCTTTGGTGAGTTCTCATGCTTCGAGGACGAACATTTATTGTTTTCAGTCTTTTGTTTCTTTCAGTTTTGAACATGATGTACGGGGTTCGCTCAAATTCATTCTTATGTACTAGATGGATTTGAGATGATGTTTAGAGTTCCGTTTTGCTTTTATAAACTCTCTACGTTGAAAACTGTCTTTTGAATCTCTTATATTTCTATTTCTTATGTTATGAATGCTAAGTGGCTTGTATGGAGGCCTCCCGGGGTCCTATACGCCATGTTATGCCTAGAGACTACCTTGGATCGTGACAGTTTTGTAGTTGACATTGAATGGTTGATGTTCACATTGAATGTCATATTCCTCCTCCATGAAGTTTTAATATGAGTTCATGGGTTTTGTAGTTTATGTATTAAACTTGCAAAACGAAAATACTTGAGTGGTTTATTAGCCTATTCACTCTTAAACGAATGTTGTGATTATTATATCTCTCAGTTATATATTACATATAAAAATCTTCTTAGAATATATTTGTTCTGAAGTGTTATTAACTATACAGTGAAATCTGAAGAGAAAAAAAATAGACGTACAGAACATCAATATTTTAGAAGAATATTATTTTGTATCCTCCAAATTTTAATAACACAAGCATATTTCTAGTGGAAGAGTTACCTTAATAATAATGATGAACAAACCATAGATTATAAATATAGGAAAAAGAGATCAAATAATTGGACCATTCCATACGAAAGAAATTAATAATGATGACCAAACCATAGATTAGTATGTTATCAAATAATTTTCAATTTAAGGACCATTTCATCATACCAAAGAAATTAATGTTTTGTATATATGATTGATGTGATAGTACATGTGGGGGCAGTGAAGACTATGGAAATAGTGATATCGTAAAGACTTGGGCAAATACCAATTGCTCTGTCAACTCAACAACATAAGTGTTGCTATATATTTCAAAAACAAATCAAGCTTTGAAGCAATCTGTTTCCAGGTGCATAGCATAGTTACAGCATGAAAAAGAACATTGTCTTATTGATTCTTCTCTTTCTAATCCAATTTTCTACATCACTTGCTTATTCCAATGAGACTGACCAACAAGCTCTACTAGCTTTCCAAAATCTTGTTACGAGTCCCACTCATTTTTTGGCCAATAATTGGACCAAAAATACCTCTTTTTGCTCTTGGTTCGGTGTCACGTGCACTCCTAAAAGGCAAAGGGTTATGGCCTTGGCTCTTCCTAATTTGCAACTTCAAGGCACAATTACCCCGTCTTTAACCAATTTGTCCTTCCTCAGTATTCTCAATCTCCAGAACAACAGCTTCCACGGTGGCATCCCTTATGGACTTGGCCACATGCCTCGCTTGCGAGTCATTGACGTTAAAAACAATCAGCTCAACGGAAGTATACCAACAAGTCTATTTCAAAACCGGAGAGTTCAAGTAATTTCATTGGCTTTCAATGAACTCAGTGGTGAAATGTGGAGAGGCCCATGGTATGTACCCGAACTCAGAGTCTTAGATCTCGGGAACAATAGCCTCACCGGTATAGTCCCTCCTTCTGTTGGAAATGCCACAAAAATGATGAACTTCAGTATGTCTGGGAATAGAGTCAGCGGCAACATTCCAAAGGAGATCGGTAATCTGAGCCAACTTACAGACTTGTCCTTGACTGATAATCAATTAATAGGTTCCATTCCCGCAGAACTGTTTAATATCTCGTCGCTACTTGCCATACATCTGCGATACAATAGCCTTTCCGGCCCTCTCTTGCTAGATGAAGGGAATATTGTGTCAAATCTCAAATATCTAATTATATCTCACAACCAAATTTCTGGTTGCATTCCTTCCAACATATGCCAACTCACAAAGATCAAAGTTTTGTCCATATATTTCAACAACATAACTGGAGACATACCCAGAAATATTGGTTGTTTATCCAAACTTGAGATGTTTCTTATTGGTGAAAATCCAATAAAAGGGAATATTCCCACTTCGTTGGGAAATATTTCCACTCTGCAATATATTTATTGTGGAAACAATCGCATAGTGGGGCAAATTCCTCCGGAATTAGGGAAGCTATCAAATTTGAGGGAATTAAGCTTTGCCCAAAATTCTAATCTTGTTGGTCAAATTCCAGAGGCTTTTTTCAACATATCTTCTTTGGAAATTACTGATTTCAGTTTCAATAACCTCTCAGGTCTTCCAACCACTACAGGTCTTCATCTTCCAAACCTTAAACAGCTTGTCTTGGGAGGTAATCAGCTTGAAGGGGAAATTCCAGCATTCATAACAAATGCTTCCAAGCTTCAGATACTGGAGCTAAGTGATAACTTTCTGACAGGAACTATTCCTAACAATTTGGGGAATCTTCGTGAGCTGCAAGAACTATACCTACATCATAATCAACTTACCAATGAACCCAGGGAGCGTGAGTTGTTATTTTTCTATTCTTTGGCAAACTGTAGGGTGTTGAAATATCTACAAGTCGGTAACAATCTGTTGAATGGCATTCTGCTCAATTCTATTGGGAATCTTTCATCTACTATCGAAAGTTTGTATATAGGATACGCACACATCAGAGGCCTCATCCCCATAAGCATAGGCAACATGAGTGGTCTTACATCCCTAGACATTGAAGGAAACAACTTTATGGGAAGTATTCCTCCTGAGATTGGTAAGCTTAAACAACTCCAAGGGTTGTATCTAAATAACAATAAATTGCAGGGACATATTCCAGAGACGGTATGCCATTTATCTAATTTGGTTCAATTATATCTACATACTAATGAGCTCTCTGGATCAATTCCGGAATGCTTAGGAAATCTTAGCATGCTACAAGAGCTTTATTTGAGTTATAATAAATTTTCATCAAAATTTCCGTTGAGCCTTTGGAAGTTGAGTGGTCTTCTCTATCTAAGTTTGTCACAAAATTCAATAGAGGGAGAAGTTCCATCAGATATTGGAGGACTTAAAGCCATTGTAGAACTATATCTTTCCAGTAACCACTTTTCAGGAATGATACCAAGCACATTCGGGGAACTCCAAAGCCTGCAGTATCTTGACCTATCAAACAATTCATTTTTTGGCAAAATTCCATTATCATTTGCCAACTTGATAAGCTTGGAATTCTTGAATTTGTCTTTAAATGCATTGTCAGGTAATATTCCTAAGTCATTGGAAAAACTCTCCTACCTTAAAAGCATTAATGTTTCATTCAACGATTTAGAAGGTGAAATACCGAGTGGTGGTGTGTTTGCAAATTCCACTCTGCAATCATTTCTCGGGAACAAAGGTCTTTGCGGAATGCACATATTGGAGATTCCTGCTTGTGCTATCACTAATCCTGGAAAACAATCAAAGCTCAAGGAGGTTTTACTAGAAATTGTTACTCCAGTGGTTACTTCATCCTTTCTGATATTCTTGTTGGTTTCAGTTTGGATAATGAAACGACAGAAGAAAGGGAAGTCCAAAGATGTTGAAAAGGTACTGGAGAT